GTAGCCCTTTGTTAAACACGTGGTTTTGTTCTTAATATGGCTTCATGGTCTAAGTCAGTTTTTTTTTGGGTCTTCTGGTTCTATATAGGAGACACTTGCTTCTTATGGAAGGCTACAGCTAAATTTGACAAGGGGTTCTAGTGAATCCAGTTCTCTGGTGGAACAACTTTTGGATGTGGTTACTCGTGAACTGGATCATGGTAGTTCATCTAGTTCTGGATCATGGTATATCTTTTCTGGGCCTCCACTTCCAAGGGGACTTCTTTAACTTTTACACATCTCATGAAGTTATGTGTTTCTAATTTAAAATAATTGTTTAGGGGTGATTCAACAAAGGATGATAAGGTTGGGGCATTGAGCAGCTATCAGAATAACTTGGTTGAGCTGGCTGCAGATGCGCTCTACCGGGTACCTATTTTATATTCAAATTACATTGTTCCTCGCAACAGAGTTCCAACTCAACCAACCATTTTTCATTTTGATCTTCAGCAGTGTCGTGTCTGGATTTAACTGTTTTTTTTTCAATACAGTCAATTGAATCCCATCACATAAATGCGTGTTTCCTCACACCCTTGTGTATACTTGAATATGTGTGTATCTGGAGGGAATGTGGGAGAGGAAGAGTGCTGATATTCAGAACTTTGGCAGGCAGTTGTCAATACTACTAGACCATCACTGTCAGAGAAACGACCTCGAAGGCAACATGTTACATCGCGTCTGGTGGAGGCACTAGCTGAAGGAAAATGGTCGTGGTATGTTTCTGACTGAGCATTACTAGAGGATATCCAATCTGGTGATGTCTTCTAGATATATGTGTAGCCATATAATAAGTTTGCCTTTGATGAGCGTACACCATTGGTTAGTTATCAACATTTAAATAAATTATAATTTGTAAAGCTGGAGCATAAGTTTCAGTGGCATAGCACATCCCTTATATAGAAACAACTCTATTGATTCTGTCAGTCTAGATGCTGTCCTTGCACTATTTTTAATTATCTGCTCCCTGCTTTCCCTAGAAACTTTATTTATTACTAATATGTGGGCTGAAGTACATAAGCTTTTTACAGGTGTGCTGCTTTTGGTTTTCTAGTCCGGACTTATTGTAGTTGCATCAACAAGGATCTCCTTATTTACTGGTTTGATGCCATCTGCACACACTTTCAGAGGTAATTTGGCAAGTTATACTTAGTTAATACATGGATCTATGTTTCTTTGGTACGAAAACAGTAGCTAGGAGCTTACGAGTTGTTTGTTAACAAGGAGTATTGATGTTGTACTTTCTGGCATGATGCTCTTTTAGAATATTATTATTGGCACTTTATCCTTTCATACTTCACTGGTTACTATTCAAACGCAAGAAGCAGTTGAGAAGACCATACATTTAAGCTAAGTAAGATGGTGTTTAGACTACACCTCAAATAGTATGGGTGAATGACATGTTTATCGACTGAGTGATGGTTACATTTTACTGTTGTGTTTCTTATTTTTGTATGTTTCTATATGGTCTCTCCCTTTTTCTCTCTGTGACATGCTGCCTTAACCAACTAAACAAGCAAACACAATTCTATGAGTGCAATTTGTATTCTCTTATGATGGCTGTACCTTTGGCAGTTTTTGTTTTTATATTTGCTAGCCTATTCCTGGGACAATTCTTGATGATTAACTTGATTGAAATACCTTATTCCCATAGCACTGTAATAACTACAAATTGCAGATGTGGTGCTACTCCTAAATATTTCAATGCCATACTACTAGCATCTGTAACAATGGACTGCTTTGGTTTACTTAATCTTATACATGACAGGCTTCTAGAGGATGCCAGTATGAGACGTTCTTATGATAGTCTACTATGGACATTGATATACGTTTTGATGGAGGTCAGGTGTTTACTATTCTCAATTTGCAGCAAGTTCTTTCATATATTTGCAAATATTCCTTCCTGCTCGAGTTGTTTGATACAAAAAGATGTAAAATGATATGAGGCACATACGAGCTTTGCTTACCTTATTTTTTCAAGTTTTAACTTCTCTGATCCTCTATCTCAGTGAGTAATTTTTTTTTTTTGAAGGAGTTTACAAGGGCTCTCTTCTGGTTGATCAACTGTTTCTTCAAGTGAGGTATTTTACTTGCTTTTACTGCCTTTTACATGATTTATCTAATATCAAGTTGAATTGAGCTTCACTTAAACATCTCCGCAAACAGTGAAAAAATTCGTCTCTTTAGGGTTTGTGCTAGATCAAACGTTAGTTTTTTAGCGGTTCAGTGTTTCTTCTCTAGCTATTTCCCGTTTAAATTATGTTCTTATGTAAACTCTGTAATAGTTTTGGTAATTGTTCACAGATTGATGTATTAACATCTAGGTTAAAATGACAGAGTCGTATTTAATGGGGATCAAGGTCAAGGGGTTTCTTGGTTTACCCAATACTATTTAAGAGTGTTTGGTAGCTCTTTTAGCTAAACAGGTTCCTGTTACTCGCTTTGCTTAGCTGATTAGTAGCTACAAGTGTAAATACTTATGGTTGATGCTACTCTGTTCCGCGATAGGATGTTGACCTAATCGTTATTTCAATGCAGGTTGATGCTGTCTTGGTGCTCCTTGAATCAATTATTTCAAGTGTGAGTTTGTAAATAATTTTTTAACACAAATATTGATCTATATCCATTTAATATTCTTGTCCCTTCATTCAGAATCACATAAACGCGGGGATTCTGCCTCAAGAAGTGTGGGATCACCAATTATTCAGACACATACCCTCTGAGTAAGCCTGTCATCCTCAAACTTTCATAAGCCATGATGTTTAGCTATTTTCTTATAGGCCCACTTTTCCAGTGGAAAATAATCAAGATGAGCTTGGATACATCTTGTTTCTACTTAAATTTATATTGTTTCCACGAGATTAATTTGTTTAACTATTGGTCGGAATTATTAAATGCTGAATGGCTCTACTTTTAACTAAAGAATTATAACTTTTACTCAGGACGGCCTTGTACTTCATTGCACGTTACTTTTCACGTATGGGTTGCCAGGTAAGAAAACTGATTCTCACTGGAACTGTGTGGTCTTAGTATCTACTTTTTATGTTGACTTGATTGCTAAACCTTAGAAGTCTTCAAAAGCTATTAGATCATTGTGGTTCTGTCCAATCACTGATAGATACATTTGTGCAGGGAAACCTGCAAGATGATTTACATCTTCGAGGCAATCTCCTTAGAGCAGATTGTGCCCCTCTTAGCTGGAAGGTAGTTTCAACTGTTTTTCCAGAAGAACACATTATATATGGAACATGGTTCTCATCAGTAATAATATTATTGGTCCGATGATTTGTGTTACCTCTTACACTCAATGGAGAAGGTGCTGTCTACGGTCTGACCAAAACAAACCATTCGTCTGAGTTATTACTCTATAAGATTGATCTTGGCATAATTTTGTTAGTACTATTGAAGTACTTATTTCTTGGTCCAGGCAGTAAAAATTATTTGCTTCTTTTTTATTTTCTGCCAACTAGTTGGTGAGAGCTGCATTCTATTTCTACCTGATTTGTGAAACTGAAAATCACAAGAGATTATAAATTCGAAATCTAATCATGTTCACTCAGTCAAGTACATCATCATAGATTTAGAAGTTTCGACTGATGTGTACCTAATTGTACCACACAGTCATATTGGAGATCTTGCTTATGGTTTATACATTCTTAGGGTCGTTTGACACTGAATGAGAGAATGGTTCAGCTTCTACTAGCAGCTGCTTTTTCCCTATGTGCTGGTTTCACAACTTCAATTCCATTACCTAAGGAACATCTGAATGGATGCCTTTGAAGTGGTGAATGATGTTGTGAAGGTGCCTATTTATTTAAGGATTGAATAATTTTCATCTCAGAAAAGTTTGCAAGACACTGGTTCTCCTGTTTTTGTTTCTTTTCCAGATGGATGATGTTGAACAAGAAAGAAAATTTGGTCTCTGTGAATAATCGGTGGAGGTTCTAACAAGAGTTTCCGCGAATTCTAGCAAGGTGGAGAATCCTCACCTGAACTCATTTCTCTGCTGACATTTTTTTTTGTTTCTTCGTAATTTCAGATCTCTAGTTGCCGAGTTCCTGATGGAGTACAATTACCTCTGGTATTAAGAGATCCATTGCTTCATGACATGGAAATCTATTTTCTTAGCATTACCCCGGAGGACGAGAGAAAGGACCACTGTCTGACATCTTTATGGGATGTTCTCTGTTGTGTCATTTTAGGCATGGTTCTTATATCACAAGGTTAGTCAACTCATCCTATTCTTGTTATTTTCTTAAAACTAGTGAGTGACTTATATTGTTATTGTCTTGTCAGATTTTCTCTATCGAAATAGTTCACTTCTTTACTATATATATATAGTTTACAAAGAAATTTTCATAGTTAATATAGGCAGATGGTGAACCCCCACTTGTAGATGCGATTTTGTTCTGACAGTAGTGTCACCATGTTCTATGCATGTAGCTTTCCTGAAGCATGGTAGTATAGTCTGGGATACCTTTTTTCATTTTTCAGAGGTGGTTGTGGATGTTGCTGCACCTGCGATGACCTAGCTTAAAGTTTATCTCTTGTGTAAATTGTTTCAGTAACTTGGATTACCGTTTTCATTTCTCATGAAGGGTAAAGGAAGCAGTTCATTCTTCTTAAAAGTATGCCAGTATTTGTTAGAAAGCCTGAACTATGCTGGTGACGCAATTTTAAAGAGCCTCAATGATTTTCAAAGGCCCTTGGGGGTTTGGCTCAGATTTTCATGAGAAAAAATCTATAATAGTATCGTTGAGGTCTCTTACTAGTTCAGCCGTCTTTAGCAACATAAGAGACCAAAATCTTCTTGCCACTAGTTATGATGCTATATTTCACTCCTTAGAGAACCTTTTACGGTCTTTTGCTAAAGTTACGGAGAATATACTAAGCAGTCATGGAATACTCAATCTGACACTGAATCTTCGAAATCGTTAGCGTTTGACTCCCCAGAAGTTGGCAGGATTGTGGAAATGGATTTGGATCTAGCCGAAGACACTACAGAGATCGATCTTATTACTGGTGGAAAAGTGTTCCTGGTATGCCCGTTTCTACGGGGAACTGGAAGTTGGGCATGATATCACTTATCTCATGTTTTTCTCTGGCTCTTCAGTTTCCTACATGGGATGTTCTGTATAGTATCATGGAGAAGGGATGTGATTCTAAGGTTTTTCAGCATTTTTTTCCACATATTTATATCTCTAGCTTTTGTGGTGATCTTACAAAACCACTTTGTTCGACTGCTTACATTTGCAGGTGTTGGAAAATATATTGTATCATCTATCCCAGCTTTCAGGCTCGACTTCCATGCCGAAGGTTAATGATTTGGTATGGAATTCAATTTTTGATTTAAAATGCTGTGAATGATTAGTGGATTTTATATCATCATCTTCACCAAGTTTTCTTGTGTTTATATTCATTTCACTATAATCCCCATGCTTAACACACAAGTAAAGATGAAGCGTAACTGTCTCAATATAGTCACTGCTCTGCATGTTTTACATCAAAATTTATCATCTTCGGGGATGGATTCTTCTGGACTCAGAACAAACTGTGACTTGTCTTTGAAAGAAGGAGAAAGTTGTCAGGTTGTACCTTTCTGTTTAAGTTGAGTATTTGGTTCTTTTCCATGATCTGCTTGATTCATTGCCCAAGTAAAGTGCAGGTTTTTGTCCAACTTGGCGCAATGGTGAATAAAGTTTCTGAATTTGGTCTGTGGGGCTGGTTTGGGCGTGTGATTTTGTCTTGCTTAATCCTCAGATTGGCCAGGTGCTTACTTCTCATATAACCCACTAATGTTTTTGCTTCTCCTGTTATTTCATGAAGCAAAAATGTTCCCGACTTAGGGTTTCATGACTTAGTTTACATGTCAAAATACCATTGATGTTGAAGAATAACATTTTCTTGTACATTCTGCTCAGATGAGATAATTCCTGCTGTTTGCAGATGAAAAATTGAATTTTGTCTTGCACTCGTTACTTTAGCGAAAATGTCCTAGTAAAGAAAACCTACAGTGTGTGCTATACGCATTTCATTTATCTTAGGACTAAAGACCAGTTTCCCTGTTTTACCAGTAGTGCTAAGAGTTTGTCTTTTTGATATTTCACATCAGCCGGTTACAGTTTAACTGTTCTACTCTGCTCCTTGTGGAATTCATATTTAATTTAGTTTCTTGTTGAATATTATATGGAGTTTCTATTTGAATTTGCACAGAAAATGTTGACCTACTTCTATTAATGCTAAATGACTCATTATTGGGTGAGGTTTGTCCTGGCAAGACTAATTGGGCTTTTATTCCAGACATGGGATTGTCATGAGGCGTTGTTCCAAGATATTTGGTAAGTTTGGTGTTTGTTTACTCAAAATTTGTGTTATCCTATGGCTTTTTAGTAGGGTGTTCTCCTGACAACCTGTTAAATACTCGTTTCGACAGATGTTTGTGGCTTACCAAAAAAGAATAAAAAAGGAGAAAGAGGCTGATATCTGTCTTTGTTGTGGGCAGAAAGTTTCTTTTGATAAACACAATGCCTATTCAAGAATTTTATATCTCTTTCTTGAAAACCTTCTCAAATTTCTGTGATATCATTATCATTATTGATTTCGAGTCTTATGAATATCAGCACTCTTTAAGTTCTGATGTTTCACAGAGCTTGTTATTCTTTCAAATATTAACTTGCTACTTGGCCCTGGGTATTCATTTTTATACTGTTAGATTGAAGTACCTCATTAGTTGCTAATAGTTTAGTTTTATCACAGTTTACAGATGTTGTTGTCAGATTGAAGTTCCTCATTACTTGTTAATAGTGTTGTTTTATCACCATTTAGAGATGTTGCTGTCAGATTGAAGTACCTCATTAGTTATTTTTTTTCCATTTCGTTTCCAGCTCCAACTTTGGTATTGTATTGGTAACCTCAAGGGAGAAACTTGTAGGGATGTTCTGGTTGCTGGTCCTCGGTCTCGCCCAAAAATGGAGTCTGTCATCATTACTTGTATGCACTTTGCTTATCACAGTGAGAACATAGAGTTGCAAGTAATATTTAACTCATTTTGTCTTGACTTCTTAGAATCGTTTTGAGTATACAATCAGTTAGCTGCATATTAAGTATTAGCATCATAATCACTACTGGGAGAAATGCAGGCTGTTTTTATGATGTACACTATTTCAGCTAAAGATCCTTGGCAGAGTATTACTCTCATGATATTGAGACTGTTTCTGATTTACTTGAAAACGTTCTTCTGCTTATCTGGCCTTTTTCCTACTAGGGAATTAATCATTGCTGCAGTTGACAATCTATCAGCACAGCTCCATTACCCATCTAGGTTCAAGGTATGATTATTGATTCTCGTTTCTTTATCTTTTCCGTACCTGTATGATAAATGTTCTTCTCATTTTTGCATTTTTCTGAATATCAGTTGACTTAGCTTACATTAATCACATCTGAACCTTGTAAAAATGCTACCCTGATGACTTCATCTCCATCTTTTCTTAAACTGGTTTGTGCAGTACCTGGAGGAATTCTTGGGCCCAATGCTCTTTTTCTGGATGGTGTCAGTCTAGCTGCTCTTTTTGAGGTATGCCACCAGCTGATATTCTCTATTTCATAGATGGGTTTCTTTTCTGTGATGGTTATATTACCTTTTCACTCAAGTTACTCATGGGCACTTTGTTCTTTGGAGTTTCATTTGTTTTTATATACTTTTTATACCTTATAGCATTTATATTTGAAACTTGTAGTACAGTAAATAGGTTCAAATTCTTTTTTTTTTTGTTCACTTTTTTTTCCTTCTCATGGGTCTACATTATTGAAGTAAATTACCAGTAAACGAATTAAATATCGACATGTGCTTCTAGATATCCAGCAATATGTTCTATGATTGCGACAGTTATCAGAAAGGAGTGAGTACATATTCGCATTCTATATAATCTGATGGTTGCTTTGTTGCAGACAAGTGAGCTGTTCATTCTAAACGCTGAACCGAAATATTTCATCCACTGGCTACTCCCAGCTCTTCTGCTGCATGAAGATCATACTAACCTTGATTGGGTAGCTAAGGTAGGGGTGCTTCCATATTATATTTATGGACATAAATGGATATTTCGAAAAACTGCAATTTCAGTTTATGGAGATGCTTAAAGAACTTTCTTATAAATTATAGCCTTTTGGTTGTTTTTCTTGTATGTTTGTATGGGCCCTTTAGTTAACGTCAGAGATTTGAACTGTTCCGTTTTCTATTTCACTGACATTGTACAATTTGCAGATGGCTGGCCAACCAGTGGCTGTGCTGGTCAAAGATTTTTTTTGTGCCAATCTTTTCGGTATGTATGGGATTGCACTGTAGTAAAACATCAGAATGTGATAAAGGTGCAATGGTGCTTCAGAATTCAATATTTTATGTGGGTGAGATCAGCGAGAATGATAGGGGTAAGCTCATTCAACGGAATATGGTATGTTACCTGTAACATTTGACTCATTATTCTAGCAATCTGTTTTTGGTGTTTGTGGTGGACAATTCCATCCTACCCTTAGTTAGCTAGTCTGATCAGCTAGTCACAGTTTATAAATCCTTATGATACAAGATCAAAGCATTGTGGGAGATCCTAGTTTCAGAAAATTTAATATATTTTCTCAAATTATAACGTATTGAATCCTAATTGGCACCTTTTTCTGTTTTCAGTTTCACGTGTTTATTGTTTGTTTTGTTTGATCACGTGCTAGAACCTCCAGTTCCTGCTTTTTCTCGTAACACCATTTCACGTGCAGCTCAAACAATTGTGGATGGTTTTCTGGAAACGTAACATTTCTTACTCACTCGAGCTTGGCTTGCGGTTTTAGTTTTTCCTTTTATAACTTCTCACTTGATTTATGCAGCGCTGATTATCCTAAGAATGAGGCCGTCATTGACATGATCAACGTTTTTTCCCAGATAGGGTGTTCATGGTGATATTTTCATTTGCCGAAGCCTTTTCACGAGATAGCAATGTTCTTGTCAATTTGTACTTCAGTCACAATATTCTTGTTGTTGTTAGGCAATTCATCACAGAAATACACTATAGAATGTCAGCCGCATGCCATCATAGGCTTGCCCGCCATCATTTGGCCGCGCTTGAAGAGCTTACGACTATACTTGGTCATCGAGCATCAGTTCCAAGCCCCTTTAAGTGAGCAAAATTCTCTATCTATCTATTTGATTTATTGACTGGTGTTGATCAAAATTCTTTAACATCAAAATGACTTTCTGTGAACCTTGTGAATTTGAGGTAGCAATGAGATTTGACCATTTGGGTTCTCTTCTCGAGTAGAAACTTTGTTGTAGATGTTAGAAAGTGTACTTTTACTTGATTCCGCTTTGCTATTGTCTTAAACTCGTTTGTTGAAAGTAAGACACAATAATATCTTCCCTGATCAGTGGCTTTGCATAGTGTGTTTTTGGTGGGAGTTACTTAGAGTTTTAATCTTTAGTTGATATTTAAAGTGCCGATGCTATACTATGAGATACGAAACTGCTAGGGTCTGCTAATAAACATGATTGTCATTTGTGAATTAAAATTTTGGTGCAACTGAAGGGTGAATCTCTATTTTTAACTACTTTGACCTATAATTGTGGTCTCTTTCAGCTATATATTCAATTTTGTTCGGCAATTTATCGGCTCTCCCTCATTACAAGACCAGTGTTGTAGTATAGCTTCATGTTTGCTGGATTTGTTCAAAAGCAATCCTGCCAAAGAAGTTGTTAGTGTACTAGGTGACCAATTCCAGGTATGTGTTACTTAATGCTAATATTTCGGTCACTTTTTATTACTTGTTTTAAAAATTTGTTTACTTTTTCTCTATCTGCTTCTTTTTTAGTTTTTGGTCTCAAAGCTAGTTACGTGCTGCATCAACGCTGAAGCAGATTCTAAAGTTTCTGGTTCCAAGTCATCTCAACTCGTCAATTTGCTACACAAGCTAATTGTTGATTCAGAATGTTCTCTTGATGAAGATATCAGAGTAGGCATTCCTTTTTGCCTACCAGTGCAAGGAATCATGAGTCATTTATGCTTTCTGATTTGTGCATCTTTTCCAGGATTTGGAACAAGCCCTAATATGGAAAATTTTCAAGTCATTTGTGAATCACACACACATCAGGATATGCAAAGCCTATCCACCGAAGAATCATCTGTTAAAGGTCCATCACTCTGCATTTTTTTAATGATTACGTTGTTGTTGGAATTTAATCACTAACCGATTTTGTGTTTCTATTCTGTTCCGCTGCAACAGTGTGCTAGAAGATCTTGTTATCTTCCACCAAGATTCCTTTCCTGGAGGTATCATTCTATTTTTCATGAGTTAAATTATACTTAAGTGCCATTATTTGTTTAAGATGTTAACTGTAGAATCAAGATTAAGTATGGTTCCTTTATTTTATATTGAAGACTCTGATTTTCTAGTTACACAAAGAAACAACAGTCAAGAGGATAAACTTATTTTTACTTCTTATAACTTTGTTTCTAGCTATTTTTTCTTATGTGAATGGGTCGATGTCTATGCTACTTTTTTTTCATTGTCCTTGGACTATATACTGGATTCTCTAGGTTATGCTCAGGAGTGAAAATATTTGTTTTATGTGTCTGTTTTACAAAATAATATAGAAGGCAGATTTTGCTTGTCTTTCAACTATGTTGATCTGGCTTCTACCTTGATAGCAACAAAGTTAATAATATTTAGCCAATAACATGGCCAATGAAGCTTTTGTCAAGAGTCTACTATCCTTGTCAAATTGCTGCAATTTTATCTATTTATCATTTCCTTGCAGTCTCCAAGCAGTGCACATCAAGCTCATAGCTTCTCAAGATGGGTCAAATGCAGAAACTGCAGATACGTTTTGGCACTCTGATGATGAAACTGAAAATGCTGTTTGGACTCTTGTCCGTGTGTCTGCCTCAGAAGTAGCAGATAGTATGAGATTGATGGTGTCGGATTTTCTTCCCAGGGTATCTGTCATTTTCTTTGTGGTCAGTATCTCTTGCTTTGCAAATTTGAATATGTGGTCTTATTTTCTCTTATTTTAACTGTTGGTTGGTATTGGGGACCCACACACTGTTGTTTTCCAACTTCCTGGGGATTTGGGCTCCTTGCATGATCTTCAATTTGCTAGCCATAATTCTGGATCAAACATTTTACTTAGAATGGCATATCCGATGAAAATTATCATACTGCTCAAAATACTGAAGAAGTATCTTTTGGATGACTCTGTAAAGATTATTGATGTAATGTCTCAAACCCATCGGGTCAGTTGTCTAACTTGCTTACCTACTGACAGTGCTCTTAATCCTTCAGTGTTTTGTCAACTGTTTGATTGATTGGTCATCGTTTTTCGATTGTTAGCTGTATAGATTTGATCATGTCTCTAAATACCGTAATGCTTGGCTATGTCTAATTTGGTGTGATTTTTGTTGAGTCTGCAGTAGCCTCTAACTTTTGTTCTGCTGTTTCATGTTATACTTCTGCTAAATTCTTATTTTCCTCATCTCTACACCTCGCCAAATGTCCGATCTATGGATTGATAATTTAGTACTTCTATCATGTACATGAAAGTTATGAATCTTTCTGTCTGAGGTGCCATTATATTTGTAATCACCTTCTCAATTGTTTGCAAGTTTTTTTTTTGTTGAGAATTTTCATCTAGCTTATATAGATATCATTTTTTTTCTTGCTTTAGGGAATTCTTTCAATCGAAAGGGGCCAGCAAGCACTATCATCTTTAGATTCACGTGAGAGATCTTTGATTGAGGTTAATTTCTTCTCTGCATTAGCTTTCTGGTCTTGTGTTGCCTTTTTCTTTTTTTGTGTGGGCAAACTGTGCTACTTTTTATGGGTTGATATTTTCTCAGATAATTCATATATTGGAGAACTCTTCACATGGGCAGGATAAGATGTTGCACCATAATTTTTTTGAGAATATAAGATCTGGTTCTTTCAGAAATTTAACTTGTGCAAATTTGATTTCAAGCTTCATATTATTGTATTTATTGATATATAAATGAGCAGTGAACCATTCAAAAAAATTGATGTTGTATGTATATTGAGTTTCTCCATTCTTGATAGGGTATCCTAAGTAAAAAAATTGCCCTGCCTGCTCAGATATGTACTTTTTTTTTGTAGGTACATGGCAGGGGCTTGAACCTTGACATTGTTGAAAGGATCTTACTGGATAGCCAAAAGCAGTTCAAAGGTAGTTTAATTATTCCATGAATCTTGACATTGTGGAAAAGATCTTAGAAGTTGGCCTCTCATGGTTTATATCAATAGTCCCACGTCAAAAAAATTCAATATATTTTCTATGAAAACTGTTACTCCTGCCAGATGCTATAATTTGTTTTCGTTGTCAAGTTTCAGGACGTAAGTGCTACTCTAGAAATAACTGAAAACTGAAATCTTTCTGACTAAATGAAGGCTATCGTTTATATTATTATTGACCATCTAATTCTTGATACAACCTAAAACAAAAAATGGATGTTTGTGAAGTCAGAGGCATATAAATTCTTTTTGGCTAATGCTTACTATATGCAACGTATCTAAATACCTCTATAACATTCTGCAAATGACATGGACATGTCTGTTTTTATATTATTTCATTCAAGTTCCATTCCTTTTTTTTTAAATTACTCAAGAATGGTTCATTTTGGACATGTCAGCTGAGAACTTTCACTGGAGATGTCTGAAGTGTGGTCTACAGATTATAAAAATTTTGATAGATGGATTTGTCAGCTCGTGTACTGTATGATCGCTTTATGTGAGGATGTCCCAATAAGGTATCTGTTTGGTTCCAACTTACGAGAGTTATCCAGTTAAAATATTAAAGTAAAATCTTTTACTCGCGTGGATCATTGTTGCTATGACAGGTTATGCCAGAACATAGCAATACTGAAAGCTGAAATTGCTGAGATTCTATTCCCAAGTGTTATTGTTAGTCTTGCAGGAAGGATAGGGACAAATATCAATTTACATGAATTAATTACGTTACAGGTATCTCTCGTCTTTTCGGTGAAATATCCATAACGTCCCAGGAATGGTCCTTTTTTTACCCACTTGCATTGTTTCTTCTCTGTATATATCTGTTTGTTGAATCGAATACACTTCCCTTGTGTACTTTTCCCTTTCCCATCTTGATTTTTTGTGTACAACATAATTAAAACCATTGCAGAGAATTTTTTGTCACTTTTGCTAAAGCTTGTGATCCCCATTGGGCAGGTGAAAGAGCATATCTTCATTGATTAAAACAAGCTAACAAAATCGAAGCAGATTATGTTAAATACCCTGAATGATACGTCCTTGAAAGATCGACTTTTTCTGGACAATCTGAGAGAGAAAAGGTCAGGGTTAATGTATTGATTCCAGCACTGACCTAATTGCATTATTTTTCTTTTTTCTGTGAAAAAATGTTTTCAAATAAAAGAAATAGGTTTTAACACCAATAGCTGAGAAAGATATACTATTCAAGGGGAGCAATTGAGCAAATAAGGATATTCTGCTATTTTTATCCTCCTCGTTATAGTGAAATCTGATATCATATAAAAGATCATTACAAACTATGAGAGACGACCAAAACAAACGTTTGAAATGGTCTTGCAGAATACTAAGCATTCTAGCTACAGTTCAAGATCTTGCTCAACCACTGCTAAGATTATAAATGTGGAACAACATCAAATGGAATGGCAGAGTCCACAGCTGCAAAGTGGGACAAGGTGTACTTTTTGTTATATGAGCTTCAATTACCATATGCATTGTTACGAGGGTGAGGTTTAGTAACTTAATTTTATAGCAAAGCCATGCAAAACAAAGTTATCCCTGTCCTTCGTGTGCTACTTCTATGATTAACGCCATTTGGTATTACTTTTCTAGTTCATTTTTCTGTTAAATTTTTTGCTCCCTATTGCTCTAGTTGGGTAATCAGTTATCCCTCTAGATTTTCTTGAAAATATAACTTCACACATGTGCTCCTATTCTTTCTTTAATACAGATTACAGAGTTACTTTTGTTGATCAGGTTTATTGGCTTTCCATCGATTATTTTGTTGTTTCCAGATCAGCAGTAGTGAGTCATCCTTTTTCTCTTAAACCATAACCAATTTATGAAAGTTGAAGCTCTAAATTTATTTGCAGTATATAACTCTTTTCGTTCTTCCCAGGTTTGTGGTGCATATTTGACCGCCTCAATGTATGTGGAGTATTGGTCTGTGGAGAAATCTGGCAGTCTAAGCCATCCTGATTTTTCTTATCATGGTATGGTAATTTCTTAAGAATGCATGTTATCTATTGGGGAATATTGAACTAATCCTCCATGGTTTCAGAGTTTTCTCTGGCATTAAAGAAATTCAGAGAAAGATATTCAGAGTTTTTCTCTGGCATTAAAGAAAGATTTAGCAGAAACGTTGTGGTGTGTTCCATTATATTGTTGCTGAAATACGAAAACAGTGCTGTAGCTGCTTTTTCTCTGTAGCTAATTATTCTTTCTACAGGTCTTTCGACAAGTATCCATGTGGTTTAATCTCGCCTCCCGTAAAATGTTATTGATAACATGTTGAGCACCATTAAAGAGATACTTGACTAATGGGGTCAGATTTGATCTGTTATGGAGAAGAAAGTCTCTTGTTATCTCTCCAATATTCTTGTGATTAACCAATCTTCATCTCACTAAACGTTCTTGCAGGTTCAGTCTTACAAATTTGTACCACTTGTTTATCAAATTGCTTCAAGGCTGGGCAGTTCTAGAGATAAATCAGGATCTAACAACTTTCAGGTGGAATGCATTTTAACTTGGTTGTCACAGAAAACGTGAGACCATAGTGGTTTAGCTAATTCTAGTTACCACTTGCAGTCTGCTTTGGTTTCACTTGTCAGAAAAATGGCCATTGATCATCCATACCCTACTATCTTTCAGGTTCTGAAGAATATGTTACTTTATTCGCACGTAACTTTGTCTATCTCTTTTAAAGTTGAGTTTCTAAAGGCTGGAGTATTATTTTGGTTCTAGCTTCTCTGGCTTTGGCAAACGGTGACCAACTCAAGGACAACCAACGCAGTAGAAACTCTTTCGTGGTTGATATGGATAAAAAGCTTGCAGCAGAGCATCTCTTGCAGGATATATCACATTATCATGGGCCTATGATTAGACAAGTAATCCTTATTATCATCTAATCTTATGCATCATAGTCCATTTTGCCTCATTACTTGTCAGCAAATCATGATTTTCTTTTTCAGATGAAACGACTGGTAGATATCTACATCAAGCTTGCAGAGCTTGAAACGAGGAGAGAGAGGTCTTATAATTCTTTGAGAGTAGAGGAAGTATTGTTATGCTAACCCAAATAATATTTGCAGAACCCTTTCCTTTGCAGGATACCAATAAGAGGGTAGCACGACCAAGAGAAATTCGTAGTGTGAAACAATTGGAACTTGTAAGCACACCATTTTTAATTAGACTTTCATTCTTATCGAGCTTTGGCATAACTATTAGCTTGTAGGACACCATGTCACTGCTCCATGTATGGACTTTCAGACTTTAAATTTTGACACCAAGATAGGAAATTTCTTGAAGATTAAGAGACCTTCTGTGGGTCATTGGGATAGGCTACTCCTATACATACAATTGAAAATTTAATGGCAGCCTTGATTTTTAATAACTGTTTATCAAATAGCAAATGTTGTCCTATGTGTTGGTCTGATCCTAATTTTTCATTTGTTTGCTGTTTTGAGTATGTTGAAATTCCTAACAAGATCAATTCTTCGCTGAAATTATTGTGGCAGTATAGTTTGCTCGTTGTCTATTTGATTGGAAGATATGTATCATTGCATAAGCTTGCAAGCATGTTTTCCATTTTCCTTCTTGATTCTAATGTATCTGTCGAACTTTTCTTGTTTTTCTCTTTTGTTTACCTGTAGTGCGCTACAATTCCTGTTGATCGCAGTTGCCAATTCAATGAAGGGTCGTTCCCTTGTTTCAGAGATTTATCAGATTCTGTTACGTAAGTCCCTGCTCAATCAATATAACAGTTTCCTTATCTGAAATTACGTCTTTTGGATATGCAGAGTGATGAATGGTATTAATGCTTCAAAAGTAGTTGAATGCTTTGGCTCTGATAGCCGGAAATATAAGCAACTTGCAAAATTAGGCAATGATGACCTCGGACAGGATGATGTAAGAGTTTCAAATTTTTGTTTTTTGATTATCCAACTTGCAGAGTCTGTACAATGGAACTGCTCCACCTACTGGCAGAAATTGAAAATATGCTGACCTAGCCAATAATTACATATACAATAGTCTAGTTGAGTGTGTACCATTTGTTTTCAGGTTATAGAACAATTCTTTGGGCTCGTCAATATCTTTCTGCATAATAACCAGGACACATGGAAGAAAAGATTAGCTGTACGCACGCATGCAAGGTATGTCTTTCTAGTCTTTCTACAAGAGGTTGTCCGTTTTTTTTTGAGAAAATTTGATCAATTCAGTAAGTTCAAATCCTTTATAATGCATATATATAAATATACATATTCTCAGGCCATTCCTTTTACTCACAAGCGCTGGTGTTCTTGAGTGGTTGATGGCACAATTGCACTTGGAGATTATCTTTTAGGAAGGTTGGTCTAATAAATTAGTAATTACAGTTACATGGTACAACAATCACTCGTCGAAGTCATAATCGTTCGAATTGGCTGTTTGCATATCAAATCACAGCTCAAGGAGTGAGGGCGCTCATGGTTTATGGAGAGGCTTGCTTATACACGTAGTGTTGCAGCTATTCCAATGGCAAGTATATCCACTTTTGATGATAGTTATTCTCTCTTTCAGTTTATAATGGATGGGAATTTCCGTTTGTATATAGTTTAGAACATAAAACCATTCATACCTGCTAAATGGCATTACATAAGGTATCCGAGAAAGTGGAATAATTTAGGAAGCTATTAATCTTGTTTTAGTTTAAATTTCCTTAAATGCCCATAAATTTGTAAGCTTATGAGAGTTGTCACCTATTTTCAATCTCAACTGTTCAGCGAAGAAGGGTGTTGAATCCTATTTACCTCTCTCTCTTTTTTTTGTATTGACATTTAATAGGACATGGTTGTATCTTAAATTGATGTTCTTATTTTTCTCTCTGAATCATCTCCGTTTGAACATTTGGCATTTGGTTTGCTATCAGGTTGAGTGCATCGTTGGTCTTGGTGACCGTCATGCCATGAATATTTTAATTGATCAAGCCACGGCAGAAGTTGTCCACATAGATGTTGGGGTTGCCTTTAAACAAGGATTAATGCTCAAGACTCCTGAACGGGTATGTTTCCTTCCATCTTCTCTCTTTAAATATTTAATTGGATCTGTATGATTCTCATTTGTTCAGCTTCTTCCCGATTGGACAGGTCCCTTTCAGGCTGACAAGAGACATAATTGATATGCATGCGTTGCAATCTCTCAAATTTTACTAGGGATACTTTGCATACAGAGATGGCCAGGACGGAGATTTGTCTGTTGTTATATAAATGCCAGTTTAATGCTCTCTCTTTAAAACTATTTCTTGACGGAATAATTGTGCAAATCATTTTGAGTTCCACTTGTTTGTCCTGTCCTGTCAATATTAGGATATTTTATCCTTTTGAAGATGTTGTCGAGTTTCTGAAACAAAGGCCTTTGATCCAGGAAACTGAAGATTATGATGGCATGAACTTGGAAGGATTACAAGAGGAATCCGAGGGGAACAAGGATGCTGCACGTGCCTTGATGGGTGTCAAGCAAAAACTCGATCGCTATGAGGGTGGTGAGATGAGAAGCATGCATGGCCAGGTAATTATTTTTTTTAACATTTTGATCAAAAGCTCTATCTAAGTTGTTCTTGGTTCACAAGTTACTGGGGTGTATTTGCTCAATCGCTTTGTAGGCACAACAACTAATACAAGATGCGATTGACGCAAATCGTTTAGCGCATATGTTCCCTGGCTGGGGAGCCTGGATGTAACAAACCTTCTTGTTGTACATTTTCCCAATTTTTGGCCAGTCAGTTGTGTAAATAGAGAAATCTTTATGTAAAGCACATAATACTTGGCTGCCAAATTTTGTTTTTACTGAGGAGGGTAGGGAGCATTCTATAATTGTATCGGCGTGAGAAGGGAATTTTCAGATATGAAAAACGTAGTGTGAATATGAATAGACTCATATTTAAATGCATCTGATCCGACAAGAACATCAGATTGTTGGACTGCAATAACTTTTTTATTAAGAGTTTATTACATCTTTCTACATAGGATTATGCTAGAAATGAATTACATTGGAGTAGGTATTTGAAATTTGGGTTCGGTAAAACTTCCCATACTGTCCTAGCTCCACCGTATCCTTTTGTTTCATTTCTTCTGGAACAATTACAAACACTTGATTCCATTCCACAGCTATTTGAAGCAAACATTCTCAACACGTATAGCATATTACTATAATTGCGTAAGAACATTACAACACTGTTATATTACGATCAATGTCCAAAGCCTTTTATGATATAAACCCACTTAATTGAAACAGAGACAAGATTGGTAACCCAATAACAAATTCATCAACCTCATGTTACCTCTTTACCAGTTATCTCCATAAGCCTTTGTTATGTCCTTTCGGTTTCAAAACCTTGATAACATTTGAAAGATTCGGTTGAATAACTCCGATTTGATCTATTTTTATATCTTCGTCTGGGCATACGACCTATTAAATCACAGCATCTCCCATTGCAAACTAACAGAATGGGGTTACGTTAGCTTTATCGATCCACAAAGGTCTCTTTGCTTTATAGTAGAAATGCGCAATCATATGGACCAATTCATCCGCCGTCCGAAACTCTGTATCAAGTTCAACACAGTATGATAATCCATTGCTGCTCATATATCTTCCAAAAAAAAGGATAACAGCATCAGCAACTTATCTCGTCTCACCTTTCTCTCTGTACAGAATCCGATTTCCCCGCAAGAAGAGAATCTGTGGGCACTCCTTAGCTTTAAGAGCATATGCCAAATCTGTCTCGATGTTCAGGTCAATCTTAACCGCCTGTTTCATCAAACAATGGTGATTCTTTGTCAACAGATAAGCAGAGTTTTTGACACAAAGAGAGTAATGTGCAAAGTTTTAGAAATTAAACTGCAAACTAGAGAAGGCTTCTGACATACCCGTGGAGGTAATCGATCTTTCGCATTCCAATAAACTTTGATCGCTTTCTCAAGCTCCTTCAATGTCTTCCAGTTATCACTAGCCCTGTAAAATGTCAGAAATTCAAGTCATTATTCCAACGATAGTAGATTATAGTACTAAAAACCAAAGTTCAGATTGTAAAGTTTGGTAAGAACTATGAACAACAGTGTAAATGTATGATTCCTCAAAGGCAAGTTTTGTCCCCATTTACATTTTTATGATTATAGACTCTCAATTAAAGTTTGATTCCATGTATAATGACAGTGTGGAAAAGTTACTAAAAGGAAGAAGTCATAGTTTCATAGTTTTCTCCTATGCACACCAGGTGTTTGTGAAAATTCGTCAATGAAAAAACAAGCTTTTACCTGTTGTATCGCTCGAATACGAGGACGACGAGTGGGCTAGGATGAAATGCGAAGCTTTCCCACTCCAAACAGTTGATCTCCTTAACCCAACTATCATCAATCTCCCCTTCCCAATCGATCTCAATCCCGTCTTCTCCGACCACGTTTTTGATCGGATGTGTATCGAAGTACTCGGAAGCTCTGATTCCCCATCCAACATCCGTATCTACAGGCCAATCTGGA